TTGTGCAAAACTGGATATGTTTATAAGAATGCGATGGTTTAAGTATTACCTCTCCTTCCCTATAAAGCTGAATTTGTGCACTTGTCCTCTGTGTCCTCATGCAATTTGTGCATTCTTCTAAAAAGTTGGTTTGATCTTTTTGTTGCTTGTAGCTCGGTGAAAGAACAGCAAATATTTTAAAGCATCTACTTCCAGTACCCAAGCCTGATACGAAACGAATTATCACTTTTGCTAATCAATCAGACTACATCTCATTCAGGTGTGTTTCTCATGCACCTTTCCTGATGGACGTGGTGATTCTGTTTTGTTAATTGCTAAAGGAGTTTTTAGGTGAAAAGGTTGTTTATATTTAGCTTCTAAGTGACAGTTTTGATAGTTGTTGGTGGCATTTTTAAGCTTTGATGAGTCTTTTCATGCTGCACGTTAAGTATACATCAATCTTGTAATATTCATACTATTGCTTCCCATCTTTGTTGGATCTCATTAATTGATGGGAAAAAATATTGATGATTCAGCATTGCTCTTTCTTTTAAGGTGTTAGACAGGAGATATAGTTTTGATAAATGTGCCGCATTGCAAAATTGATAGATTGTGAGTACTTTTTTGCACCTGCGTAGGGTATATTTTTCTATATTGAACCTTGAGTTACAAAGCTCTCTGGGATATGGTTTAAGACACAGTACAAGGCTTGCCTAATGCATTTTTCCTTGCAATATGGCATTTTATTCTGGTTTTGGGTTTAGTTTTCGTTCTTCAGTGCAAGCAAAAGCAGAGAGAGCCAGGAAGAGCAGAAAAGAAGTACAATGTGTATGCACCCCTTTGGAGAACATCGGATAATTTTGAGGGGGAGAGTTAGGTCTTTGCCTTATTATCAGATGTAGGAAATGTGATACATTGAATATTCATCTGTCAGGATTGGACAGGTAGATATATGAGATTGGAGAGTTTTGGAGTTAGGACTTAAAATATGACATATTCTTTCAAATTTTTATTTTTTAATTGGTGGTATAAATTTGGTTTTTCACTGGTTAAATAATGCTTTAGTGTGGCTCTTTCTTTTTCTTTCTACGGATTTTGTACTCAATATGCAGGCATCATTTATATGAAAACGTGGAGGTCCCAAGTCCATTGAACTGAAAGAGATTGGCCCCCGCTTTGAATTGAGACTTTACCAGGTAAAACTCCAGTTTAATAGGAACAGTAAATATGCTTATTACGGTGGCCAACAATTTATAGCTTTTTGTTTTTAGAAGGGAAGTTTGTGTGGTGGTTTTGAGTTTTTGTGATAGCTCATTGCGAGTTAATTGGACACAACTTTTGTACAGCCATCTCTCTCTCTGTCTCTCTCTTTCTCTCTCTCATGTGTTCATCATTAGTATTTGGGGTTCTTTCTCTTGCAGATCAAGTTAGGAACAATGGATCAAGATGAAGCTCAAACTGAATGGGTTTTGAGACCTTATATGAACACGTCCAAGAAGAGGAAGATGATCGGAGACTGACAGTATTTAGAAAGATATTCTTGCAATGACTGTTTTCTGCAACAGTAGCATCGCTTTGGTTCCATACTTTTCCTGGTTGACCGTAACAGAAGCTGTATTTTGCTGTGCGAGCATCAGTTTGGCTGGTTAGTAGGATGATTATAAAAGGTATATTTTGTCATTAATTGTTGGTTTTCGACGCTTAGACCCAGTCACAGCACGGATTCTGTACCAATCTGACTGGAACAAGACCGAGGAGGCTGTATACCTACATTTTGGTAGTATTTGATCAATACTACAACCTGCAAAACAGTTGAGATGAAGAGTAGTAGGTGATCTGTATGCCTTTTTCTGCTTCTGTTTTAAAATTACGAGTGATAGAACATGAATTTATTTATGAAACGGAGGCTTGTCCCAAAGCAACAACTAATTGCGTTTTGTCCTCTAATTGTTATGTACCTTACTAGGGGGAAATGCCTGCGCATCATGCGTCGGTGTTTGGTGCTTGGGATTAAAGAGGATTTTTCATTGGTCATATAATAATATATTCTGGAAAGAAATAATCATTAAATATGACAAAATTATTAATAGTATATTCTAATTATAGCATATGCTTTTACGTTTTACTTTATCAATGCTTTTACAATTTTACAATTATTAAACTATTTCTATAGATGTCAGTTGAAAATCGTCCAAGAGACGAAGTTGTTTCAAACAAAGGAATACCCTCTAATGGTTAGTTATAGCAACATGTTAACGCGTGTTAATTGCACAACGTGTTAATATGTCTTTGTGTTAATTGCACAATAAAGGTCACACTTCAATTAAATGTGTCTATAACACTATTTTAATAATTACACCAACACATAAACTTATATGAGTTGGACTTGATGTAAAAACAATTGCAAATAATTTCATATTCCAGAAATATCCAGATGTTTCTATAAATAAAAAATTTAAATGTATCAAAAGGAGGGAATTGTGATAAATATATTTAAATACATGCTGCCCTCAATTGTATCAAAAGTTTTTAAAAAACTATACAACATTCCACGTTCTCAAAAAACTCCTATTCATGCAGTTGAAATTCAAACTTCTTTTTGACCAGAACTCATTCTTATATAGTTTAAGAATTTTTGCGTCACTATACCCATTCCACCGTTAAGGATAAGGTTTTTTAATTTTTTTTCCCCCTCCCCCTCCTCCGTGGACAACTCAAACCACATTTGGTTTTTGATTCGGCAATTTTATGTCTCTGATCCGTAAGTTGGTCGCCTAGATGCTAATATTCGTTAATAAAGCTGGGGATTTCATTTTTGGGACTGCTATCATGTAATTGGCTAAGAGAAAACGATAATAATTGCGCTGAGAAAAAAAAAAAACTACTAATGCATCCAGAATTGGAAGAATATTTGATGACATGGTACAAAAATTTGCAGTTTATTTCTGGTCTCCTTGCTGGATGAGGTATTGCATGAGTTTGGCATACAAGTAGCAGTGTATTTCAATTGGCAACTGCGCGCAAATGAACAAGAAGCTGATCCGCCGATAAAATCACAGAAGCTCAAGTAAAAGAAGGAAGCCACTGAATGGTCAATGTCCATTTCTCTCTTTCTAGACTCAAGTATCCTCACACATTTTTTCCTTTTCGGTTAACACATGCTCATTTGTCGTCACATGAGGTTGTTTGTCAATTAGAGTCTTTCTTGAATCACATCCTTTATTGCCTTATTTCTTATGCTTTATAATGACATTTTTGGTTTTCTTAATGTGTTCTACACTGACAATGAATACATGTATGTCCTCTTTACACTTAACTTTTTTTCTTAACTGTTTCTTCCTCTGAGTAAACAGTTATTTTAGCTGTCATTGTATTCTTAATGAACTACTCGATGAATTTTATCAAAAATGATTAATGAAGATTTTCTGCACATTAATCTGATTTTAAATGCGTGCATGCCAACTCAATGACAGCTAGTATTCTGACGTGTGGTTGCCTTAGGATTTCTTAACCTTTTTAAGTGATTGACAATTGTCTTATTGTGTTATCCACGAGAGTGGGCAATTTAAAACATGCGATTTCAGGTTGTATTGTTTGTAAGACCGGTTTTTTTGTTGTCTCAACTTTTTCGGAAAAATTGAAGGTGGAAATTTCTTTGTCTAATTTTACCTAGCCAGCCTGTGTACTTTCTGTCATTGGAGGTGAAACTCATGGAATGTAGACTGGCAAAATTACCCAACATCTCAAGTTGATCGCTAGCTGACCTTACTTGATGCTAATCTCCTGTTCCTCACTCTCTTCAAAATTTAAAATTACTTCCATGTGTCATCCCGATATTATGGAAGGTGTAAAATTCAATCGCAGCCCTTCATTCCTCTTATGGGGTGGTCACACTTTGACAATGGATATCACACTTGTTATAGAGAAAGTCACTATATATTTTTTTCCAAAAAATTTTCAGCTATCTACATATTTTTTACCCTGTGACTTGCATTTAATATTCCTAATAAACAGACAAACTCTATCCTGATAAAAGGCTTTACCACATACACCTGGAAGTTATTCTTTCTATCTGCAGTAATGGTCAAATTTAGAAAACAGTATCTATCTTGGGTGCTAAAGAGTATATTTGTCTTCCACAGTTCGTGGTGCCACAGTTACAGTCTGAGGAATAGCTTCACTCCATGTAGCACAGTAGTGATATATTATTTGTGTCTTGTCCCAACTATATCTTATATATGCAGTAGCAAAAAAGTTGAGAGACCCCCCTCAACTATCTTCTACTGCATAATTTTGATAAAAGAAAACTTCAATAGCCAGAAGTTTTGGTGCATGAGGAAAATGAGTTTCTCCAGAATAAAGAGAGCATGCAAAGAATTTTATTTTTGTTTCTTTTACCCTGTCTATTAGCTCTTCTCCATATAAGATCTGATCCAACTTTTACTACCGGGAGCTGAGATGCAGGTATAGTTGTTTTGAGTTCTCTTAATTCGAGATGATGAATAAGGTTAACACTTACTGCCTTCTGCAATTAAGTGGAACATTTTATTGTTGGTGTCTTTGCTATTGAATGAAGCACCATTGAAGCACCATTGACCATGGATTGGTAGTACATACATGCACTTTTTTCTGTGAAATGCGGTTATTGAACACTGAAGTATAAGTGGTTGAATTAATTTCTTCCTGGGACCTTCTCCAATTGATAACAATTAAGAAACATATGGAAGATAGTTGTTAAAGGATGGAAGTTGGACATTTTTAATGGAATTACTCAGGGAAAATGCGTTTTGTGCTACAGGAAGGAAATTAATTGTAAAACAGTTATCATTGTTCTAATTTAATGTGTTTTATTGTTTGCTAGTGTTCCTCTTTATTCATTCTTATTAACTAACTAAAATCAACTATGGAATTGGCCACATATACTTGTATATCATGATAGTTTAATCTGTGTGGGTTGTAAGGAACTGCACATGGTTAAATGTTTACTAGAATTTTCTTGACCAGAATGCACATGATTCTGATTTTTTTGCCTTCAGATTAAAAAAATACTAAGCACTGACATTAATTTCCTGAACAGTGTTGATGAGGTTGCCTTCAGCTTCAATGGAGGGAAAGATTCAACTGTGAGTATCTAATATGTTCATCTTTCCTGTTTGAGCTCTCCATACTGTTAAAACTGGGCATATGATGGACTTGCTTTGTGTAGGTGTTGTTACACCTTCTTAGGGCAGGATATTATTTACATAAAGCAGAAAAAATTGGTTGCAATGGGGACCTTATGGATGGTGAAATTGCATATCCAATTCGAACCATATATTTTGAGAGTGCATCTGCATTCCCTGAGATCAACTCATTCACCTATGAAACTGCAAAAAGGTCTGGGATAAAGCTTTTCCCTTTCCATTTTATCTTTTTTCCTTTCTTTGTACATACTGCTGTTCTTGATTTTTCTTTTAAGGAGCATAGTATGAAGTTACCAAAATTGAGATACAGAATAACCTAGCTGATATGTTAATTGGTGTTGGTTGTGCACATTTTGCTTTTTGTTATGTTAATATTGAAGGGGAATTTTATATATTTTTTTCTGTTTCTCTCTATGCAGCTATGGCTTGCAAATGGAAATTATTCGCCTTGATTTCAAGGCTGGTTTGGAGGCGCTCCTAAAGGCAAAACCAATCAGAGCTATTTTCCTTGGTGTCCGAATCGGTGATCCCACAGCGGTATTCCGATGCCTTTCGAGTTTTTCTCTGACACCTAATACTTATTGGAAATTTGAAAAGAATTTAGTTCAGGGTTGATAGCTACATGCATATATACGGTTTTCTTGCAGGTAGGCCAGGAACAGTTCTCTCCTAGTTCACCTGGGTGGCCTCCTTTCATGAGAGTGAATCCAATTTTGGATTGGTCTTACAGGTTTGTTCAAGCATGTTAAATTCTGGACTTTTGTGTGATAAGCCACTAATTTGTTCATGCAATTGAAGTGGTGCTGTTCAGATGTTGTTGCATCGCTTAAAGTTGCTTATATTCTTTTTGATAATTGCAACATAATGTCAGAGTGAAGAAATGTACTATATGAACCTTAAAAATGACTTATATCGATGCATGCTGCATAAAATAGTGATTTGGTATATCCATTATAAGGAACCAATTTGAAACAATGTTCTATTTTTGCAAGATTTTGAAGTGCATATTTTTTGTGGGTTTGGTATTTCCTTCTCCGTGGAGATAGATATGGTCTTTTCAATCTCTCAAGTCATTTAACCTTTTCTTCGAGTGTAACTTCATATATTTGATTCCTACTTTCCATGATCGCGATACAATTGAAAGTATACTGTCAACACTTATTTTTACTTATTGCAAATTTATGGGTGTCAAGTTTCAACTGTCTGTTAAATGATTACCGTGAAAAACATCTTTGATACCAAGATCCAGAGTGTATGCTTATGATTTCTGCTAAAGTTGCTGCAGAAACTCCTCTCAGGTGATCTGGATTCTTTTTAGTTGTCTTTTAGGGATTTATCATTGTTGTTGCTGTTGATTACCTACTTCTTGGCACTCCCTTTATGTTCACCACCTTTTAGCTGTCTTTGACAATAAAAGCTTAGAAGAAATAACTGCTAGTTTGTCTCTTTCTATAAGCAAAAGAAGTGAGTCTAGTGCATTTGACAATTTTATTGCAAAAGCTACTTAATGAATATGTGTAAACTTTATTAATTTTTACTCTGTGCTTTCTCTGGATATGATGATGCTCAGAACTTTTTTCTTCTATTTACATACAAGGTTGACTTGTGTTATTTGGCAGAGATGTATGGTCATTCCTTTTGACTTGCAAGGTTCGCTACTGCAGCCTTTACGATGAAGGGTAACTCTTCACCTTTGTAGCTTGAGAATGTGTTGAAGATTTGTTATAATGCATGGTGCTTGGGATATATATTTCTTGATCCAGTTTTGTATGAAACCTTACATTCCCACTTTAATAGCCCAGAACACTTTCTATTGGTTCTTTTGTGATGTAACAAACCTCTATGAGATGATTCTTTCCAGCATGTTCAGTTATATTTTATTTTACTTATTCTTAGCTAACTTATAACTTCCATGCAACTGCAGCTATACTTCAATTGGGAGTGTTCATGACACAGTTCCAAATGGTTTATTGTGCATTAGAGACTCCAGCAACTCTGAAGGGAAATTCAGACCTGCGTATCTTCTTGCTGATGGAAGACTGGAAAGAGCAGGGAGGGTAAAGAAGAACTCTTCCCCACCTTGTGGGCAACTGGCTTCTGTTAGTAATGGTTTGAAAAGTAGAGATTTGAGCTGGCACAGCATGCTCACAGCCTCAATAATTGCTGTTGGTGATGAGATTCTGTAAGTTTGTTGTGGCTGCTGTATTTATTCCAGATAATGTTGTCATTAGCATTTAGGCCTTGTTCTTGTTTGCTTTACATTTTGCACAAGCTGATCAGAATCAGCAAAAGCTACTCTTTGGTAGATTATTGATTTTAGCTTTTTTTTACTATTAAAAAAATCTATAATCTAAGTGCAAAAGTTAACGAGAAAAAAGAAAAAAAAAAACTATCTAAAATCAGAATCTTTAATCAGCTAAAATATCAACCAAGAACAAGGCCTTACTAATAGATGGCTTTTAATAGAAACCATTGCAATTTGTCACTTCTGGACCCTCGTATTCTATGTCCTGAACTTCCTTTATCTGTGTGTTTGTTGTATCTTATGTTTCTCTATTAAATTTTTTTCTTTGCCTATGTTGTAGCTGTCCTTGAACACTTCATGCTCATGAGATGATATTCTGTCAATATTTCAGTATTATGAATCTAGTTATCTCTGCAGGAACCTGTTTCTTCACTATCATTTATTTTTACATTCATAACCTGATTTTGTACCGACGTACTTGTATAAAATAAAGGATGTTGCAAGCAATCTTACCATTTCACACGGAAATATGAATGGTTGCATGGAGTTTGGCTTTTCATCTCCAAAAATAGGATTTTGTTTTCTAGTACAGTTTTTGTGGAGCACAGTGCTGTTTGAATTGTGAACTTATACCTTCTTTAAGGATCTGTTTGGGGATTGCAGCTGTTTTGTTTGCTGGTTCTTAGAGATAGTGAAGCGCCTTCTGGTTTTGTAAGATGTTTAGCACACTTTCATTAAACATTTGTTTGAAATTGATAGTTATGTTTGTTAGTACTGTGTTTCTGTCTGACTATGAAACATAAAGTTTCTTCTGCATGTAATTACTTGTTAATCTCATATTTCTATGTTAATTCCATAGCTCAGATTTGGCACTGTTGAGGACAAGTTGGGATCTTCTCTATGCAGAAGGCTTCATTCTATAGGTTGGACAGTCTCACAGCTTGCTGTAACTCGAAATGATGTAAGTTATGACTGAAGCTGACTTCTGATATTTGTGGTACAAGAGAGGTGAAAACTTAGTGCTGTAAAGGCTGCTATGCCTTAATTGTTTACTTCAGTTTAGTCAGCACAAAGAGCATGAATCTATTTTTGGATTCAAGCCTGTTCCTAGTTGCTTATATGTATCTTATTTAAATTTGTTTTTGACATGGGGGGGAATGTGGAGGGATTAGGGAAGGGGAGGGGGAGGAAAGGCTGCTGAACATGGTCTCTTGATGATGTCCAGGTGGAGCACCTCTGCCCATCTGAAGTTGCATTGTTCAGCTGTCAATTAATGTAAATGGGTTTTTCTTGCTTCTAGCTTTTGCCAACCTGCCTGCTATTTCCTATGGCATGCTTTTGTTCAGATTCCTTATCGTATTCTTTTAAATCCAGATAGATTCTGTAGCTGATGAAGTCGTGAAACGGAAATCTACAAATGACATGGTAAATATTTGCAATCATTAATTTAGATTCTCTGCTTGTTACTTCTCTAGTAAGTGCAAAGAGTACGAACCTCTTCTGCATTCAAGCCTGTTTCCTGTTGCTTGGTGTCTTATTTTACTTTTGTTTCGACATGAAGTCTTCATTTATTTATTTTTTGTATTTTTATTTATATTGGGTTGAATTCCATGAATAAGAGGAGCAAAGTTACACAAAGCAAACAGAGGGAGGGAGTGAGATCTACTAATTCATGCACATTGGGCCTTACACTTTGTTACTATACCGAGTGAGAGCCTATAGTAATCAACTAATCATGGGGTGTTGATGGGTCATGCCTAACCTTTAGTTTCTCATTGCATGTTGTTGCCACTGGTTATTTCAGGTGTTCATATATGGAGGTATAGGTCCATTGCACTCAGATGTCACTTTAGCAGGAGTTGCAAAAGCATTTGGTGTTCGTACTGTGAGTTCTTGTCTCACTCTAATAATTATGGGTCTCTTGGCATTCTCAGCCTAATGAAAGCTTATCCAGCTCCACCTTTGATTATTTAAAAGTAATGTGGAGTCATACTTTCTATCAAGGGTCATTTCGCTTGTGTGATTCAGCCTGTTAATAACTAGGCCAAAGTTCAAAGATTCTGGATGATGTCAATTCTACTTAGTCCCATCTCTATAGCAGCCTTATTCACTTATACTGATATGGATTTTTTATAAAATGAGTAACTTCGTGATCTTTGCAGAGTTAGTGATAAAACGCTGTTCCTTTATTGCTGTTTGTTTTCTTAGCTGTTTGATACCACTGATTGTTTTTGCCTATGTTGTTAAATCAGGCTCCAGATGAAGAGTTTGAAGAGTATTTAAGGCATCTTATTGGTGAAAAATGCACCGGGGACAGAAATGAGGTAATGCTGTTACAAACATTGATGGGTGCAAGTATCCATTTCTTACTATAATTTTTTCTTTGAAGAATAGAAAGCTAATCTATGCTTGTGCTTGATTAACATGATAAGTTTTTTTTTTTTAAAGAGGATCAAGATAAGGATTTATTATCTGTATAGACTGTAATTAAAATGTATATGGACAAGAATAAAAGAACATTTGGGGTCAACTAAAAACACTAGGGCAAACGTACGTTACAGGTACCAATAGTTCATCAAATATTAATTAAAAATTTTAATGGCAAGATCCTTGGATACTCCTATTTGAAGCATACTTCTTTGGTATCTGATCTTGTTTATAACCTCTTCATTTTGGATACAGATGGCTCAACTGCCTGAGGGTATCACAGAATTACTGCATCATGAACAGCTGCCTGTGCCTTTGGTACGTGTATATGGTTGAGGATGCAATAATTTGGTTATTTGATTTCAGTGCAAGCTGGATGATGCCATTCCTTGTTGATATCCATAAGTTGCTGAAAGCTATTACACTCTTGCTAGGCAAGGTTTTTTACGTTGATAATCATATTATACATGTAAATGGAAAATCATGTAAGAGTATGATGGATGACTTCTGGTATAACCCTTCTGTTCATCGCACTTGTGAACTTGGCACTCTGAAGTCCAGCATGTGATGAGTTTGCCTACTAAAGCTATATATTGTGGTATTAATCTGACTCAATTGATGGTAACCCTTATATGTTAAGCATCACAGTATTGTCACAATGTTGTATTTAGGGGATAAGCGTCACAAACATAGCATTATTAGCAATTTTGAAGAGCATGACAGCTCGAAGTTTTCTGTCTCTCTCTTTTCACAAAAAACACAATTGCTGTCCAGTACTTATCCATGTTTGTAAATGCCTCAGCGATCTGAACTGGACTCAGTTTCGTGTAGTCTAAACATACTGTTGATTGTAAGACAGAAATGCCTTACAAACAAGTCTATTGCGTTCAATAAGATGCACCTATTTTAACATGTCGAACCATTGTAATAGGGTCAGTGTTGGGTATGTTCTGCTTCACAGTCTCATCGATTATGAATTGTCAATATCCCATGATTTCTGAAGACAGATGTTTACCACTCTCAATGCTATTATCCGTCTTGTCCCTTCACCATTTCTCAATGTGCATGTGCCTTTTACTGTGTTCTTTATTATTTTTTTCCTGTCAATTTTGTATACTACTAGATAGCAGATACATAGCTTTTACATTTCCTTTTGACCAGTTTGTTATACTTATGTGCTAACTAGTACAGTAACTTGTGCTTGCTTTTTGGTTTGGTTGTTAGATCAAGTGCCACAATGTGATAATCCTATCTGCAACAAATGTTGCCGAGCTGGATCTCCAGTGGGACTGTCTACTTGATTTATCAAGTTCTAATGGGCTTCTTGTGCTGATGGAACCATTGCAATCAAAAAGATTGTGCACCAATTCCTCAGATGTAAGTGTTCTGCGTTATTCATGAGTTTTGGAACCAGAATTAGATGACAATTTATAGTGTTTCGCGTCTCATGGGGTTGCAGGTGGAAGCTGCTCAACCTTTGTCAAAACTGTGTCTGGAATTTCCAGATCTTCACATTGGTAGGAGTTGAGAGTTTTTGAATTATGGTTTTATCTGGTTTACAAACAATTTTTAGTTTTTTTTTTTTTTGTTAATCTGCTTTGCTTGGTTAAAAAAAGGGGCTTATCGGGCATCAAGAAATGGGCCACTCATAATTACTTTCCAAGGAAAGGTAAGCAATGGTTTTCTACGGATGTCAAATCTTTTGTTGACTATAGTGAGATCTAACTTACAATTTAAAACAAACCCTTTGGCTATTGATGCCAGGATCAAGGGAGAATAGCAGCAGCAACTGCTGCTTTGAGCGAGAAGTTGCATACAGGACAATTCTCTGAGGTCGACTGACTGCTGAAACAGAAGAGTTACTCCTCTGGTGTTATCAAATGCCAAGAGATACATTAAGGAGCACTTTGGTATCTGCGACTGCAAGTTTTCTCCAGTCAAGTGGCTGAAAGTCACACACTGCAAGACATAAAGAAAACTAAGAAAGTGCCGCCAGAAGAGGAAATGAACGCATAGTAGGGGTTGGCGTGAAATAGCTGTGGCGCAACCATAGTGCTCAAGTCGAATTTTTTTTATTTTTTATTTTTTTTGGCTTTTTGGGTAGAAAGTGATGGTAAGATCTCATTGATTTGTCATAACATTCTGGGGCCCAGCGACCATGGCCACATGACAAACTATATTAACCTGCAATCTCGATGTTCAATACGTTGCATTCAACCTATGAAGGCACAGAAATGTTTAATTTTTCCCATTAGTTCAAAAAGAAAGAAATCCTTTACATTGACAAGGTACTGGCGCCCAATTTTCTGTGTTTGGCATCAACCAATTAGGGCTATAAATGGGTCGTACTGGAAGCAGAATTGGCAATTTCAATTCTCATTGGCATTTATATTTATTGTTGCCGTTATCTAAACGGTGACTGTTGTCCGATAAAAAAAAATTAACAAGAAACCGCATCTCCCTTCCCTTGTTGGCATTGCCTTAAGCACAAAGTCAAATGAGCTGCCTCAATGAACCCACCAAGCACCACATTCCAAGTTGGTGTGTCTGTCTTTCGTTGGCATCTCATTGATTAGTTTTGAGCACCAAAGGAAGCAAATACTCGGAAACGGGCTGCTTGATAGTTATTATGTATGCTATGTTTAGAGAGATGGCATGCGATTGTACATGACGCCACCCCCCAATCTTACAGCCTTCTTTTGATTACCTTAATTTGCATACATGCACAACAGAGAATTTGAGCGTCCAAGATGATCTCCTATTTGAATGTTTTGACAACATTGTCCGAGATTTGTTTCATCGACTAATAAATCCCCATGTATATATAGTTATATATATGTGTGTGTGTGTGTGAGCGCGCGCGCTTAATAATGTAAAATTTTACATTTGGACAAATCAAACTACGAGCTTTTAACGGATTTTTAACGTTGTGAGATTGGCTTGACTAGTGCGCTAAAAAAAAACACCTCTTTATCTCGTTACCAGAAAAATCAAACTCGTTTACACCACCATGAATAAGGGAAGGAAAGGCCCGTTTTAACAGACGATTAAGAATGGCCCTGCTTGGATACAGAGAGTAACAGACAATTACGAAGGAAACTGGGTGGGGGCTGCGCATCAAAAGAATGGAGAACGAAGGCGATAAGGAAGAGAGGCCAAATCTGGGGAGCCATTCCCATGGTAACCTCGTGGCAGCCTCCGGTGACGAAAATCTTAAGGAAATCTTTCATCATATCAGGACCTCCAGAGCCCCTGTACGTGTTAAACCTACTATTAATTGTTATTCGTGCATACCCTGCTCGACTACTACTCCTATTTTCCCTTTCACCTAACCTTGTCATGTGTTTGCAGGCAGTTATCAACTACGGTGCATCTTGGTGAGTCGTACGTGTGTGACTTGAGTTACCTCCCCAGTTCTTCGTTTTCACTTTTATTTTTTATTTTTATTTCTTGAGTTGTGATTTTGGGGCGTCTCCAACTGATAATAACTATTCTGGAGTTCAAATTTGTTTTGATTGTGAATTTGTCTGTATTTGGATTGAGTGTGCCCGCGTCCGATTGGAGATTTTGGTAGCTGAAAGAAAAAGATGGTAACATCAGTCAGCTGTTTGATTTAAGGACCGTGTGAAAAACTAAGTATCCTTCAGTGGTAGTATTAGGTTATGGATCAGACAAGTACTTCTGGGCGATTGGTGTCTGCATACAAGAGGAGCTGATTCTGGAGTTTAACTCCATCGAGCAATCTTAATGCGGGTGAGGAACGTGCACATTTTTTCATTTCATTTGCACTATTTTCAAATCGTCAATGCGGGTTCCTTTGGAAATTGATTGATGAAGAGGAAACACTTTGATTGACGATGAGGGAACACTGGGAACTCATACCTACTGACTTAAGATTAACCATCTGTTTTTAACATCCATTAGCTTTGGATCTCTATTTCTGTTCGTTTGGTTCTTTTGGTCCTATTTTGGCAGAGTTCAACCCTGAGTTCCAAACCTTTAATGATACTATCTGCCAGGAAGATATACTTTATGTTTAGTTTCGATTCCACGTAGACCATAAACAAGTCGGTCTGTTTAGAAAGTTGAATACAGCGTTTAAGCATGTGCTTCTTGTTCCTTTGGTGGAATAGAGCTAGATTTAGGAAGTGGATTTAGAAGTATGACCATAATGGTTTAGGGATTTATTATTATTATTATTTTTTATCATGGTGAACATGACTATGGAGAGCTAAGCTTGTTAGCAACAGAAAACAATGTAAGAAACACTTCAAAATGATTACCATTATGCTTATCTGTAATCCTACCGGTCATAGCACATTGTTGTTAAGTACTTGTCATTCCATATACAATGTTCATTTTACAATTTGAAGGTATACAACGTTTTGGCTGCTCCTCCAGCAGTTTTGATACGAAAGGTGATGATGTGAGACTTGAAGATAACCTAGTTGCCTTTCTACTGGATCAGTTACTAAGGCTTATTGATCTTTCATTTCCAGGTGTCATGTTTGCAGCCAGATATTTCCTGCATTCTGCCAGTTGAGTAACAAGTTTCCCAAGCTTTCCTTTGTGTATGCTGATATTGATGAATGTCCAGATACAACAAAGCATATTCGGTATACGCCAACTTTTCATTTTTATAGAGATGGTGAAAGGGTTGATGAAATGTTTGGTGCTGGTGAAGAGCGATTGCATGACCGCCTGTGGTTGCACTCTTGAAAAACAATTCACCTTTTGCAGTAACTGAGCATGATGAAGAATATTTCATCCATCATAAGATGTGCCATCTGTCAATATCTTCATCCTGCTATGCCATCACTGATATGTTTTTGTTTTTTTGAGTTTGCCTAGATTGTAAATTATTCTGCTACACATGATCTTGTGGCTTTCACAGCTACCATCTGATTCGTCGTGTATGTAAAGATAAATTGGACGTTTACTGAGATCCTTTTCCCCCCTTCTGTGGTGGATGAAGAAAATCGTTGTTTAAGTAGATAAGGGCAGCCCCCCTTGAATAAAAATCCAAATCTCTCTGCGTAGCCTGATTGTAGTTTCAAGTTTTTGATTGTTTGACAAATATTTACTGGGAATCCAAAATTTTGAAAGTTTACGAGTTACTCCGTGACTAATTCGTCAAAACATGATTGAAGAGCTCAAACTGCGACTTGAATCTTCTATATTATCAAAATCTCTATAATTTTAAGTTGTCTGGCCTCTTAAACTTTCTGTATAATTAAAATCCCTATAATTTTAAGTTGTTTGGCCTCTTAAACTTTCGCAAGTGTAGCTTAAAATGGCTTAGCTTGCTGGACAATTCTCAGATGCTTGATCTGAGAGTTTACAATGGAAAAGGCAACTTGGTTTGAGAATTGATAATGAAAAAAGTTATGAAAATAATTTTGTAACAGTCGAGTATTAATCACTTGGGTACCTCGGAGAGGGCTTTTTATTTAATCCATCCAATCCATTTCTTCCCACCTACCACTCCCATAGCAGAAAAAACATTCCAAGCAAGTGCTACATAGCTAGAAAATGCAAGCCAGAAAGTTGCTAATAAGTATGAACTAAGTTGGTCAATCAAATGCACGTTATGTAAAAATTTCATTACCAATAGAAGATATACTTTCACGAGGACGTGTGAATAATCAAAAATTGATCAACAACATGAATGGAGAAAGAGTGTCGCTAACGAGCAGACAACTGAAACAATGATTATAACAACAAAAAAAAAAGAAACTAACTTCAAAATGAACGAATAACTAGAAGACAAGGTGACAAATCGCTCCGCGTTCATTCAATCCTCTAAAGTACATAATGCAGGGTCCCTTTTCCCGTCTCTTAGTGGAGCCCTGGAAAAATGAATTCGGGTCAAGTGTATGCCAGATAGCTTTGTTTATTTGCTTGCAGCTAGAATCATTGCTACTGAAAGTAATTTGCAGACAGTTGTCAACTCAAGCTTTGGGCTTGAGAATCTTAACAGTCTCCCAAGAGAAATCAGGGTCGTCACGGCCAAAATGACCATAAGCAGCAGTCTTTTGGTACCTAAAATTGCCTCCCCTCTTCAAGTCAAGATTGATTGCGATCATCCCAGGCCTAAAATCAAAGTTCTCCTTGATCAGAGCGAGAATATCCTTGTCTGGAATCTTCCCAGTCTTGTATGTTTCAACAAACACTGAAAGAGGCTCTGCGACGCCAATGGCATAAGAAACCTGCACAAGGCAGCGACGAGCAAGCCCCGAAGCAACAACGCTCTTAGCAGCTTGCCTAACAATGTAAGCACCACTTCTGTCCACCTTAGTGGGGTCCTTGCCAGAAAAGGCACCTCCACCATGAGCACCCCATCCACCATAAGTATCGATAATAATTTTACGCCCAGTAAGTCCTGCATCACCATGTGGACCACCAATGACAAAGCGACCTGATGGGTTGAGGTGGAAGATGGTTTTCTCATCAAGGTACTGAGCTGGGATGACAGGCTTGATAACATGCTCCTTCAAATCCTGGGCAATCTGATCATTTGTAACAGTTTCATCGTGTTGGGTTGAGATGAGAACAGTGTGGACCCTAATAGGGACCATAGCACCACCCTCATTTTTGTACTCAACAGTTACTTGGGTTTTACCATCGGGTCTCAGCCATGGGCATGTCTTGTTCTTCCTAACTTCAGTAAGCTTGGCGCCGAGCTTTGTAGCAAGGACATGAGTCAGAGGCATAAGCTCTGGTGTTTCATCAGTTGCATAACCAAACATGTGTCCTTGGTCACCAGCTCCTATTTCCTCAGGTTTCTTGGTCAAATGACCATGAACTCCCTGGGCAATGTCAGGGCTCTGTTGTTCAATGTTGACAAGAACCTTGCAATTGTCAGCATCAAGGCCAACATCAGCTGATGTAAACCCGATGCCCCTGCAAGTATCACGCACAATCTTCTCATAGTTGACTGTAGCCTTGGTAGTTATTTCACCAAAGACCATAACCATGTTAGTCTTTGTGCAGGTTTCGCAGGCAACTTTGCTCTCCGGGTCTTGTTCCAGGCAAGCATCAAGAATGGCATCCGAGACTTGATCACAGAGCTTGTCAGGGTGGCCTTCATTGACGGACTCTGAGGTGAAGAGGAAGGTATCCATGTCTAGCCTGATAAGGAACAGAAGAAAAGACTGCCTCAGTTATGGTTTGTATTAAAACTTAAAGCAAATTTTCAATCCATTGACAAAGTTACTGAATCATAAGCTCCTTTTATGCACCATGATTTGACTGGTAGCAGCATTAGTAGCAGTGAGTTTCTTAGGATACTATAGCAGGCTCATTATGATATAAATGACTCATTATCCACATTACCATGCTTTCAATCTATGGCACTTTTACATGGCAAATTAAGGAATAAGTAAATAAAAGAAGGGCAAATTCGTAACAAATGGGTTATTTTTAGTATCACCAGGTAACATATACAAGTATAAAAATCCTCTAAATTTTCCACCGATCCGAGCGTCCAGCCTCAGATTTCATGGTGACCCTTGAAATACGGAGAGAGATCCCTTAGTACATTGTAGTTGTTACCGACATTAATATCAACGTGATATCTACTGCTGTTGCCACATAATTGGATAGCCCATCTTAAATAAAGGTCTATCCTTTCAACAACATTAACGATTCAATGGCGCTTAGATCCAAATGTGAAAATGAAAAGAGCGGGGGTGGGGGATGGTGCTGGATCGTCGTAACGAGAATATTCAAGTACAAAAAGCATTTGTATGACAGAACATCCAGATGGGCAACGAGATCTGCAGTAAGATCTACATACTAAATATCAGAATACAATAGCATAGAATGAAGTCATCAACAGTGGCAAGATCCGATAATTAACTGATTCATTGTAATCCCCGACGGCATAACTAATCATCAAAAATAGAACGTCAGGACCCAAATCCAGCATAGAAATTAGTCGAAACGATGAAAAGAGAAGCACGACACATAGAACGGGGCAAGGAATATTAACACTGCATTCGAGAGAAAACGCTCATGAATGGAAAAACAGAATTCATCACAATGGCAGAGATCCAGATCTCATTCAATCAAATGATAGAGTTGCCAGATCTAAACAAAATAATAAAGTAGAGAGAGTTGCAGGAGGGAAAAGAACCTGTAGATCTGCAAGCAACAAAGGAGCGGAGCGGAGCGGGCGAAGGGAGGAGGAGTGTACAGGGAAGACGAGAAGAGAGGTATTTTCGCCTTCGGTGAAGAGTAGTGAAAGAAGAGCAATGGCTGTGTATATATATAGTAGTGCGAGGAGATCCCGGTGGACTCGCTCTTTCTTTCCAGTTTCCTCTTCTCTCTTTATCCAAGCGAGGGAAAGGAAAACGAGGGAATGCTTCCAATCCAGCCAGATACCAACTACTACTACTACTACTACTTTACAATTTTACCCACACAGCTTACCTAACGCGCACGCGGGACGGGAGACACCCCCGGTCGAAATATAATATCCTCCTTCCTCTCCGATTTCTTTTTTTTTTTTTTTTTTTTCCACAAACGGAAACGGTATGGGCAAAATGGGGTTTTTGGATACCTCACCCACCAGGCACCAACCAACTCTTTCTGATAGGTCTAAATATAATAAATAAATAAATGTGCGACTATTCGGATCTTCCTCCATTTCTGTTCTGTGTACCGAATCTCGGACAATTATCATCGCCGCTATCAGTCTCAACTCCGCCTTCTAGTATTTCTTTTCTCTGCTGTCATCATAGTTTTGACCTTTTTCGTTTTCAAAATTTTCACCATACCCATGTTTTGCTTCTTTACAAGGGTCTAAATTTATGGGATTTTTCATAGCGATGGCTGATGATAATGGTAGATTGTTATTAATCTTGTTAGGTAGGATGAGTTTTACCTACCAAAAAAAGGTACTAGTATATTATTGTTATTAGTTTTGTCGTGTAGGACGAGTTTTTTCCTTTAAAAGAAATTATTTTTTTTTAAAGATAAGTTAATTAATTTGATGCGCCCACAAATTTCTTAAAACTTCACGTCATCTACCTATTAAAAACACTTTGATCTTAAGTTCATTTGTCGACGGCTTCAATATGATCTTGGTGGATTTAAAATGTTTTGATTTTGTCCCAAGATCCGGTTTAAAGTAGATTACTGGGAAAATAATTCTGGGACCCATGAGTCGACTGTCAAATTCTTTGCTTTTCCTTCCCTTTGTGCAATCTAGTGATTGGACTACATGCAGTAATGACTGTACCCGAGTTGCCATTTCATGGTTGACAATTCTGTCACTACCCCTTCGAGCATTCTTGGTAGGTTACCTCGCCTGTTTACCACCCCTTCTTCCCAAGAAAGTCGATCACAATTGTCACTCTTTTTGACTTTTCTGTGCCATCAATAGTCAATAGTGGAGTCGAGCGCATGCAAATTGCAAATTTGGCACTTGCAGCGGAATCTGGTGTGGAAGTCAAATCGGATCAGACGCGTTAATCTTAAAGGGAAGAAGAAGATAATTACAGCTAGTGGATGATATTTACGGTGTCCATCAGAGTTAGGACTGTTAATGAGTCGGGTCGGGCCAGTCCAAACTCACCCTGCTCGCCTGGAAAAAAAATCGGTTTGGAGTTACATTGAACTTGGGCCTAAATATTAGGTGTGGTTCAACCTTTAGAGTAGTTGAACATGAGGCTAGGTATTAGGTGTGAACTGAGTTTGGATTTTATTAAATTCAAATCCGATATAGGTCCAATCCTTAATATACATCTATATATATAGTTTTTTTATAATATATTTATATTTTGATATATATATATATATATATATATATATATATAAATTTAATGTGTTATACTTATGAGTTATGTGTCAAATTGAGGATGTTTGAAAATGTATTGAGTGTTGATCATATTTTATTAGTATTGAACTTTGAACTTATTCGATTCATTATTGTTAGAAAACTTTTAATTTATATACTTTTTAATGAATTGTTACTTATTTGTATACAGTCTTAATGATCACAACAAATACACGCAATGCAAAAGAGTATGAGCATTTGATTGGAGACCACGTGAACTAACGAGGATGTGAATATGCTTGTCAGTTTTTGATGAATGATAATTATGCAAAATTTGAATTTGAAATTTAATTTGTGTACATGAATCCAACGACAATAGTGTATACATTGTCAGTATATATCAGATTTACACATTTTAATATGTAATATACAAAGATGTGAATATGTTTGGTTGAGACTTAAACCTAACACATTAGGCAGGATTACGGATTAATTTAAAACTTTTTTTTTTTTTTTTTTTTGCATCTGTGGCTTACCGGCCACGAGTTATTTTGATAGCATTGGAATATTTAGGTATTAATCCTTTTCACTGATGACATTGCTTAGGTGGAATCGCGTAATAATTTATTTCAAAAGATAAGTAGTTCCAAGATGGTCAGCATCATAGAGATCATCTCCTTATTAAGTATCACTAACCCGATTAAAGACTTGCGTATTCAGCCTAAATAGACCCACGTCACGTGTAATTCATGTTTCAAGTGATTAACTATGAATATTCATTGTACGCACACAGAAATCACATTTAACATTTTTGTCACATGAATCACAGCCCAGCTGAAGTCCAAGTGCAGCATGGACAAGAAACAATATGTCATGATTCCACTACCCAGGATTCCATGAGGATTCCTTAATCCAGGATTTCCCTGTTGATGAGAAGTTGCTGACAGTGTAAGAAAATCAAAATTTTTCCCGTGACCAAAAAGCTATAAAGCTTTTATAGAGTAGCTACCTCAAATAATGCCGGCAATATACTCTGCAGAGTCAAAAGCGCAAGCCCGATGGTACCTGTGACAGCATGAGGACTGCCAGAAACACACGTACATCGACTATAATACACTACTGTTTTAGAAAGAAAATCATACAAGATACTGGCTGTCCGGGAGAAGGTTGTGCTATTCAAATCCAAGCATACCTTTCAAAGATAGGTTTATCTGAAGTGAGTAGAGATGTTATTCCACCTGCGGCATCGAGAGCAAAGAAGATAAACATCCCTCCAAGAAGTTTAGGATGCAAGTCTTTGGCTTTGGCCTTCTCCTCCTGATAAATTTTCGAGGTGATCTTAGACTTGTCCAAACATTACAGTTGGAAGAAAAAATTTACTAGCACAAATAAGTAAGGCAGTAATTTCCTGTTCTTGCCACATCATCAGACACTCGGATTCGGAAACCAAGGTAAGTTCCATACCCACCCATAGCAAAAAGCACAACAGCCTACAAAATGGCAGGAAAAATTTCGGGACAGATGTTCATTCATCTTTAGTTACTGTTGTTGGATTCTCTGCTGGTCTAATAGATGATAAAACAATGCAGGGACGAAGCAGGAGAAAAAAGTAATGTGCCATATTACCAGGGTGACCCCAGTGCACGAGCTAGTCTGGAAGGTTCCAAGACTTAACGAGCTCAACAGAAGGTTCAAAAAGAGACCTCACGGTTGCAGCTGAGAAGAGTGAAATGAAAGAAACTTGAAAGAAAGAGTGAAATGAAAGACCACAGGGAAGGAGCTCAGAAGTGTTTTCTTTAAACCGACGGTTGTCGGGAAATTGTTATTTCACAAAATAAAAGGAAAATCGTTCAAAACGTCCCTCACATTTTACAAGATGATTTTTTTCGTCTCTCACTTTTAAAAATATAATTTTACGTCCCTTACGAATTCACATTAACCAAATTTGATCTCTACCTAGGTTTCCGACTAGGTTTTTACCGGAATTCACCACGTGACTTGTACGTGATCATTTTTTAAAGGCAAAATTGTCAAATCAAATTTTTACATAATCTGATTAATAGTCCCTCACATTTCACAAAATGAACTTTTTCATCCCTAACATTTTATAAAATGAATTGTTTTGTTCCTCACATTTCAAAAATTGAATTTTTACATTCCTCACATTTTTCAAAATGAATTTTTTCATTCCTCACATTTTTTCAAAAAATAAGGATTTAAAACTAATAATTTTGTTTGAAACCCATGTATATATTTATATGATTTCACCATTTGAACTTATTCAATATTTGTGATCTTTCTTTTTTAGTAATAATTTATTTATTGAGTTGTATAATAAGATCATCTAATTAATGGATCCTAACTCAAATTCTATAATTATGCTAATAAATTTCAGTTTAAATCTGAAATTTCTACTCGACACTTTTAAGACCAACAGTTGAATTACTTGCCTTGTGATTGTTTTAAAATTTAAAAGTGCCAAAGAAGATCACAACTTCTATTCCGTCGGATTAGTCCCATTAAACATTGATGGGATGCAGTTTTGGTTTTGCGACTATCCTAGAACACAAGAACCATAAACATTGTACACGATCACTTCCAGGCATTTTACTCAACCCTGCTGCCATTAGTCCTTGATTCGGATAAGTGTAACTGACCCTCTTGGCAAACTGTACCCCAAAGTGTTTCAGTTCTTTTGAGCAGTATTCTCTAATCTAAAACCACCTTTCCCGGCAATTGTTTGATTTATGACATAAAGAATAAACCAATCATCCGATCCTTAACCATGGGAATGATTCTTGAGAAAAGCTTACTCTATAATTTCAGATTAGAGACCTAGAGTCTCATCAACCACATCCATTTTAGGAGAAATTCAACATACCGGGGAAAAAACAAAACCACCAAAAAGGAGGTTAATCTGTATTCCAACTTTGATTTCTCAAGGACAATGTGTAATACAGTGATAACGAGAAAATTTTCAGTTCAATTAGCATTATGAGAAGAGTATAGAGCAAATTGGTGAATCAAGAAAGAAGAGAACAGCCGAGTGCCAACTACCAAGATAGTTTAGTAGCTAAAGTTGAGGATTCAGGAAGTCCTGGGTTCAAATCTCCTCTCTTAAATCTCACCCTTGCCCTGCTGGGGAAAAAAAAAATACCAAGATAGTTCTTCTACCTCTTCACAGCAGCTAGCGCATACACAGATTCAAAATGTGGAATGCCTGATCTCAGGAAGGGTAGGTAACAAAAGCATACCTCCAGGAAGAGCAGCTACAAATAGCAAAGGCAAAGGAGAAAAGGAGTAAACGACAGTCTCGGTATTGGCCTCCTCCATTTCGTAATCTTCTGTATCTTCAACTGAATCATCACTAGTTTCAGAAATCTGGTTATTGGCGGCCACATGGAGGCCAGAGAGGACCCTTTTCCTAGAAGTTACAAACGAGGAATATCTCCTTGATTCAGAGGGATATAGACAGGAAGTGGAAGATAAGGGGAAGAGGGAAAATGGAACAGAAGGCAGAAACGAAGCGGGAGATTGTGAAGATAAAGCAAGAGAAGAGGCAGCAGCATTCACCGCAGCCACTGCCATTGTGGAAAAACGAAGCACAGTTCTGAATACTATCCTAAGAGAAGGTAAAACGTGACTTATCGCTACGGGCCTACGGCATACGGGAAACTTCTATGCTGCCGGCTGGTGCTGGGTTAGTAAAAGAGCGAGGGATTGGAAAGCCATCGATGGGTTGGAGGGGGGAAAAGGGAAAATGGGTTTTGAGGAATCCGAAGGAGGAGGAAGAAGAAGAAGAAGAAGAAGAAGAAGAATCAGTGAAGCAGAGGCTGAAACAACCGTAATTATGTTTTTATTTTTCTTGGTTTTGATTATATTGGTTAAAAAGATTATATTTATAATTAATATTAATGTATATTATTTATATTAACTATTTATATATTTATTTATACATATTATAAATATTTTTATATATTTATATGAATATTATATATTATATAAATTATATATAATATAACATATATTATATATTATATATATTATACATTTATATAAATGTACATTTATACATAATATATATATTAATGTATATTTATAATATACATTTATATTATGTATTATATATAATATAATACATTTATAATATATTTATACATTTATATTAATATACATAATATTAATTTTATATTTATACATAATATTAATACATTTGTACATTTATATTAATTATATTAATACATTTATACTTAATATTAATATATATTAATAAAATTATAATTTATACATTCATATAATATTCATTTGTAATTTATACATTTATAATAATATAGACTTATACGTTTATAAATATATTTATATTATGTATTATATATAATATAATGCATTTATAATACATTTATATATTTTTATATAAATACAAAAATATATTTATTTATAAATATTTATAAATGTATATTTATATAAAAATTATAAATTATAAATTGTAATTTATACATTTATATAATATTCATTTATAATTTATACATTTATAATAATATACACTTATATATTTATAAATATATTTATATTATGTATTATATATAATATAATACATTTATAATACATTTATATATTTTTTAGCGAATATATAAATATATTTATTTATAAACTTTTATAAATGTATTATAAATGCATAAATGTATATAAAAATAAAAATTATAAATTATAAAAATACCCAAAAATATGTTTTAAAAATACCTCTAAAAATAATCCAAAAAAATCTCCAGTAAAAGTTTTTCATATAGTTTTTGAAAAACAACTCCAAAAACAACTAATCCAAACAGACTTGTATTTCAAAAACAAAATGCTACAGTGCTGTTTTTGAAAAACAACCCCAAAAACAGCTAATCCAAACGGAGCCGTTGTTTTTCTCGAGAGAAACTTTTTTATCATCTTCTTCTTTTCTCTTTGAGCATGTGGCTCGTTTGAACTGGATGTTTGTGCTTCGTAGAAGAGACAAAATGGGAAAAGTCAAGGAATGAAGTGGGTGGCGTGGTCGAGACACTGCTGATGGGAAACTAGTCCAATAGCAGAGAATCAAGTTGGAATGTGGACCAAAGAAGGAACCCATGCTCTGGCTCCCCAGTTTTTTGTTTTTGAAAGCCAAAAATTATTAATGCCCATCTAACTTGTACCTTTGGACCCATGCTCCAGCCTCAAGATCTAAATGGAACATAATTCTCAGAACTGAAGATTAAACCACTTTATTCGTGTAGTTTTCGAACTCATGGGTGGTCCTGACAAGCTTTTAGGCCAACAGCTGAAAATCTCTATATCTGTCTCTGAAGCTAGAAGATAACTGGATAAAAAACAAACCTTGTAGCTTAAAAATTTTTTAGTTCCAGATCTGACCCCATTTCATTCATACAGATACTGTTCTTCAGGGACACATACAAGGAATTTGTCGACCGCATGCCTTAAAACTTGGCTTGACACTTTTGTTTATTTATTGCTTTCCATCTTGCATATCAAACCGGGCATTAATCTGCTTATTTACATACTTATGGATAAATCTTTTATGCACTCTAACTATACACCAAATGCATGTCACATATACAAAGTTTGATACTTTAAATACAAAGTGAAATTATATAACATGCATTTAATCGCCATAAATGTATATATTCACTGAGCAAAAAAGATTTATTCTTTCTTTTTAGGTCAGAAAAGATTAATCCTACGCCTCATTCCATCTTTACAGATCAAACAGGGCGGGCTTTGCAAGGAATTGTCATGTTCCTAGTCCATTTACAAGTATGAGTGAGACCTTGATGTCCGGGCCTGACTCTCGAGCCTTTTAACCCAAAACGGATCGGCCGAAAAACCAAACCCATCGCTCTTAAGGCCTCCATGACGTCGTTCCTCCATTGGCGTCGGAGATTTCCATCCTGGCATGCAGAACGGTGTCGTTTTTCTTGGGCATTGCAGACTGCCATTTTTCGGGGTTGATGGACAACAGGAGCTCCAAGCGCGTCGTAAACAAATACTCTGAGGATGAGAGAGGCGCTGGAGGGGGTTGTGAGGGTGGCGGAGGCCCAGGTGGAGACAATAAATTGATTGGTCAGAATTTGATCTTTATAGTTTCCTCTATATGCTATTTTGATATATAGATTGCAGAATGTAATCTAAAGCCTGCAGGGGAGTCGATTAAGCGTATGCATTGCGCAATTAAGCTGTGATGACAGAAATTCTTGTCCAGCGGAAGCAAAATCGTGCATGGACTCTGTCTAGGGAGGAACGTCATAAAAGAGTGATTTTTTCGGAGTCCTTTCGGTCGAAAAGGTCTCCCTTGGGGTGAGGAACAGTTTTCACACGTAGTTTCGTTGAGTACAGCGTTGGATTCTAGAGTAGAAACAAAACACTAGGATCTGCAGAACAAGCACCTTCGGGTGATGTATATAAACAAACTAGCGAGGTTTGGATTTGTTTTGGACTAAAACACTAGGATCTGCTGAACAAGGCCGCGTACGTACCATTCGAGGACAATGTTCATTATATCCAATTCAGGAACCTAAACCCATTGTTCATTATGTCCTACGTATCTTAATGTACTAGAAGCAGATTCCACGCTGAACAAATACGCATGGCCTATGCAGGGTGAAAATATACAAGAATTGACAGCTATCAAAGAAGGCGCAATAGTCTCCTCCAAAAGCAGAGAAGGAAATGAAACGGCTTGTTAAGTTAACATCAATAGTAAGTTGAACATTCCCCACTGGTACCGTTCCACGTTCCACCTCCAATTGGAGCTGGGAAATTCACCCATAGATCCCCACAAATGACTCTGAGCATCGTTTCTCTGCTCCAGTATGAGCCAGAGACGTATGTTGCTCTCATATCTAATCTCAAATAAAAATCCAAAATCCCAATTTTTCGTCCTTCACCCATTGCATCCACCACCGAAGCTTCGGGAGATTTCCCCTAGGATCCGGGAGAGAAAAATTAGCTCTCAGACTGGCTTCAGTCTTGCCCTCCAGGTGCAACGGATCAATCATGGCGGCATCCACGAGTCGATTTCTGTAAACCAGGTATCCTTGAATGTGCGGAAAGGAGATTCTTGATTTCTGGTTCGTACTCTTGACAGTTATATTCGTCTCCCATCTGGCCTTCAATGTTGAATTGGCGATGTCGAAATAAGGCACGTTAAATGACTCCACCTTAAAGTCTGGGACGCCAGAGCCAAAAATAGCCAAGTGAATAAGCTGAACGTTATTGTGCAAACCATTAGAACAATCATGACGATAAGCGCGAGGCGAGCAAACTCATAACCTTTGGATGGCTGGGGAGAAATGTTGGGTAATTGAGCAGATGAGTAATAGACCGTGCCCGGCGGTGGTCCTGCGCCATTGTAGTAGTTAGGATAGGCGGTGTAGGGGTGACCATAATAGCCTTGTTGCGGTGGAGGGAAGGGCTGGGGACAGCCTACGGGAGCATATCCCATTACAGGTCTTGTGGTTTCATCATTCGACATATCCCTCTCCCTCTCTCTCTCTGCACGCTGCAGGGCAGGAACGGGAGGAAGAGAGAGAGAGAGGAAGCAAAGCAGCTACCTGAATAGGAGAGAAAGGGGGAGACAGAGAATATGGAGATCAAATTAAGGAGATCTCCAAGGTGTTCAATAGATATCCGCGCTATAGATAGAGATATCCCATTAAGAGAGGACGAGACTAATTTGTATGGAAACCACCAAAATGTTACTCTGACCAATATGTGGCTAGAGAATTAGTTAAATTTATTTTTGATAGATCAGTGTGGGTTAAAATTGTGGACGTGCATGTTTGATTTATGATTTTATGGATGAGCAAGTATTAGCATATTTAGGATTCGTATACATCGATTTTCTGGTGCCCTCCATCCTCCCTCCATCTTTTGATACAATCATCACAATCATAGTTCATGGAGATCAATTCTTCCTTCTGCACCACCACGATTTGCAGGTCACTCGTTCGAAACACTTCTTGGGTGACAGTGCTAGAAAAGTGGACATGACGTTTTTCAGAACAGAAGTCACATGCTTCTATCCAGTGATAGAAGCTTCTTTTGAATGGTTAAAGTTTGTCCTTGTACAAACATTTGTAGAAAGTTTATTACATACGAGTCTGGTCGTTAATAAATATGTTTTAAGGGAGATGCTTGTATCATTAGTATCCTCGAATCAACGTGTCTTAGCTTGTCCCATGTATTACCAGGTGGATGAGTTTATCCTTTTTCTTGTTTGCTTGTCCTCTGTTGACAAGTTCATTAGAAAACTTGGCGAAGGTTCTTTGTTCCAGTTTCGCTAGACTCGGTAGATTCTGATTTTTTTTTTTTCTCACCATTATGTTTTGCGTAAAAGATTGCAGAATCTGCAGAATCATTATGTTTTTTCTCACCATTCAGTAGCGGGCTTGACAGTCGAGGGAGAATCATCATTTTCCATCAAGCAAATATAAGATGGTTTTATCAAGAGCTGGTGCAACAATAGGAAGAGGGTCTCATTAAAATTACGTAACTAGCATATATGTTCATTTTGACCCAGAATCGAAAAAAAAAAACAAGGGGAGTTACACATACGAACTATACAAGCGATTGATAAAGAACTTTGTACATGAAAAACCATTGTCTATGGTTCGGTTGGATAAAAAGAAAATCATACCTGATTTTTACAATTCCGAACGATTTATGTCATATCCAATAATCTTTACAAAATTTCACTAGGACCACTACTAGATGATTACTTAACCACCGGCAAATGTAGGCCTCTTCGCCTCCGCCACTCACATCCGGAAAGATTGCCGGCAGCAAGCTAGGCAAGAAAGCAAGGTGCAGAGGCACCATTCAAATTTTTGGTCGTCATCATACCTCCAATAAGTACCTAGACAAGCATACAAACGGTACATGAACGAATGGAATTACAACGAAGCGTGGAAAATTTCTGCTACAAATCAAAGCACCATCACTGCCTTGAGGGTTTACTAAGGGTAACAAAAGAAAGGGAAGAGGTATTTATTAAAAAAAAAAAAGCACCTACGCCTCTGAAGAATGAATGAAGGATCTCTAATCAGAAAATTAAACAGCCATTGTGATCGCATAAGAACCATTAAACGGCTTAAATTTGCACACAACTTGATGCTGTGCATAAAATTTCTCTCAAACTAAGGATTGATACAGGATCTATCAATCAAAGAAGAGAATTTCCGGATCAAAAGCTAGATGGAGCAAGCTCAAAACAGGTAGTCGCGGAATTAATGTCACAGAACTCACCAAAAATCAAGTAAATATTAGACATTCCGTCTGCGAATCTTCTGCTAACGTCCCATCTCCTCCGGCGGGTGAAAAGTTGATCTTTAGATCTTCACAAAACACTCTTAAGGTTTCCTTCCTCCAAACGGAGCCGGATTGAAATTTAGCCTCCATTCTCAACCTCACGCTAACAAACAATACCTCCGTTTTTATTTTCAATGATTTCTCCAGCTAGAAAAGGTTTGCCGGGGCCGTGGCATTATCCATTCTAATTTGAAGACTAAGGAGACGATTCCCGTGCGAATAAAAAGGCTCAACGGCAGCGGCAGCCAAGGGATAATTCTTGTAGAAGATGGAAGCCTTGACGGAATCAAAATCAACTCTGAGATCGGTGTCAGGTTTGAAGACAGTAATGTTAACATCCCAATTGGCCGTAATTACGGAATCGTTTCCATTGAGATTGGATACAGCGAGCGATGAAACATCGAACTCTGGGATTTGTGTACGAATAGGAACCAAATCACCAAGCTTACCATGCACATGCTAACAATCAAAGTCACCATGGTCACCAGCATCACTCGGCCAAATCTTTTGCTACTGTCGTCTTCAGGGAGGGCCCAACCCGATGGCCCGTAATTCCTCGAGTTGTACCACACGTTGAAAGATGGAGAAACCTGCTTTTTAGATTCGGTGGGGGCGCCGGGGTAGCCAAAATACGGGGGCTGTGGAGGAGGAGGAGGAGGATAAGCTCCCTGCAGGACGTACCCCGGTACTGGTGGTGGTGGTGCTTGTGAATACTTATTACCGTCGTTATTCATGGAGGGGTACCCCATTACAAATCGGTTATCAGACATTGAAGAAGCCATGGCCATAGGTATCTAAGATCCCCCTCCCCCTCTCCTTGCTTGCAGGAGAGAAACATTTAATTTAGAGCAAGTAAGGCGAAAGGGAGAAGGAAACAGGAGAAACAAAGATCAAGATTCTAAAGTGCATTGGTGGTGATATGAGTAGTTAAGAAAACGCGAAACCAAAGAAGCATTAGATAAGATGAGAGGTTATGGTTATATGGGGTGCATTAGTAGTAACAAGTGGCAGAATTTTGGTAAAAGCAGCCACGCATCAAGGTAAGATGACTAGACTTTGGTCCCAGCATTTCGGGCCTGAAAATCACAATTCATAGATAGTCCACCATTTCTACACCAAATGGCCTTGTCTTACCTGAGGTGAGCAGGACTGGAATGCTTGGAGAGGAGAGAAAGACGGGAAGTTGCAGCCTGATATTTCTTTCTTCATGGCAATTGGCATCCATCATCTCATGATGATAATTATGTCACTTCATCTCTTGATGTATTTATTATATCATCCGGTTTCCACACACATGCGAGAGAAAACAACAGAGATTAGCTCAACGAGTACTAAAAGGAGTACTCTAGTGAAGTAGTAAGTAGTACATTATTTAACAAAAAAAAAAAAACAAAGCATCGAATGCTCATACAACTTTACATAATCGAATGATCCACAGACAGAGGTGCAACCTGCAGATTCCTTTTTTCCGTCAACCTAAAACAGCAAGGCAGCTAGGCTTGATGTATTCGTCACAGACAGATGTGTACAAGTTCATCATATTCGTCATAGATACTTGGAACTACGATGAGTTTCTAAAGACAATCTGGTAATTCTAACTGAAGTCCATTTCTGTCAGAAGGATTTGCGCCATCTCTTTGAATCTCTGGTATCTCTTCAGGGACAAGCACGTCCAAGAGATTGTGTAGCTCCTTGCTATAGTCTTGTCATATCTTTTGAAGCATTAATTAGGATACTGTGTTGAACTGCTATGGAGTTGATCTCCACATTACGTATAAATAGACAAGCATGATGCCTGATGGTGAGCATGGGCGCAAAGCCTCGATCCTAAAGCTAAGATAAGAGAATTCCCGTAATCTAACTCAAAGGGGATCGCCTATGTATGAAACATTTCGCATATGCACTTGGGAGTTAGGGCTGAAGAAAATACATTTCCACGGGGCAACCTGGTCTTATGACGCGAACTATGAATAGACAATTCCCCGCGATAGTGATTGGGAGTGGCGGCAGCAAAAGAAAAAGGGTGGGTTTGGATGGAGAAGGAGAAGGGAGCAGTCGGCAGTGGAGTAGATTTTGTGAGGAAGGCTTGGAGAGAGCGTAAAGATACTGGATAGAACAAGAAAGGCGAAGGCGTCGGAGAAGAAAGAAGAAGGAATCCTGGACTTTGACTGAACTCGTTTGAGACCTGAAAAAAGCAGCGTCGACAGCCCAGCAAAGTAGACATCACATTGTTTGTTTATGGTTTAGGATTACAGTTATAAATATCTATTTAATTTTATTTTTAAAAATGTCAATAATTTGCATTAATAACCATAAACTTATTTCTGGTTTAAAATACTGGAAAATAACTTGCGATTTTACAATATTATAAGTCCAATTGATCGAGGAAGGAGAACCCCTGGGAGCAGCTGATTATTATCAATTTATTTCTGAATATCTAAAATCATGCTTACAAGAAATGATACAAAATTGATGAGGAAAACGATTCACCACCCTCTTTCTCTTGCATGTTCTTGTTGTTAGCTTACAACTGACAAAATCCAGAGAGGAAAGCTGATTTCCTGGTCATTTAATTTATCGTCTTGGATCATTCCAGGTTTTCCCTTCAAAGAACTCGGCTAGCATTCTTTCAAGATCCTCGGGATTGTATCTGATGTACTTCTGGGGATTTTTGCCATTTTGAATCATGGGCCTGAGAATCCATCATATTCACAATCTCAGCCAGAGAGAACAACGCAAAAAACACACAAGAAACAAGAGGAGAGGGGAAACAAGAAAAAAGAGGCATGGAGAAGAAAGGAGCAGTGAAGTCGTATAGAATTCAGAGACAGCAGTACCCAAAACGTTTAATGAAAGATCTATAGGCAGGCAAAAGGACTTCAGCAACCGCCAGCCTCAAAGATTCACGTAGCTCACTGTCTGGCACCGTCCATTGAGATTGCCTTTGATGAAGTTCCTCAAATAGCAGATTGAATGTCTTAAACCTGTCTTTCACCATTGACCTTGACACTGCACTGTTGCTATTGCCACCATCAGCTCCAAAGGAACCACTCCCAGCTCCCTGAATGGAGAGACACTGGAGAATCTGGGGACGAAAACTATCAATTTACTGCATCTTCATAAAATTTGGTTAAAGAAATTTAAAACCGAGCTTGAAGACATATGGTAGTCACAATTGCATTCATAAGCTCTTTTCCTTTTTTTTGTTATGTATTGCATTGATAAGAAATCCTTGAGATGAGTTTAAACCTTGGACCAAGAAATCCTTTTGTATTGATTGGCATGCTGCTGGACAACCCTTCTCTGTATCTGTACCCAGTCATCTCCTAACATATCCTTTGCCTCTGACCTATAAATAACTAAACCATGTACCAGTGACTGAAAACTCGAAGAGTATACCCTCACATATGAAGAACATAGCATACCTTCGCACAGATCTTACTATGTAGTGCATGTTGTTCATCAAAAATAATTGAGTCAAAGCAGGATCTTTATACTGCTTAGATTTCCCATCCAGGTTACTCTGAAGAGCCTGCATTATACGAGTTGTTAAAGATGCCAACTTCTCCTCCACATCATCATCACCAAACTCTTGGAAAAGTAGCTTCAGTGTCGACTGATAGCTGCAAACAATTAGTTCACAATGTCAGTTTTTTTTTCTTCCTTTTTCCTAGCCCAACACACTGAATAAACCAATAATCAAGCATGGAAAGATCCAAGTGACTAGCATGCATCTAATTAGAGGCCTAAATAGAAAAGTTACCAGTGGTCCACAATATGAAGCAACCGAAAAAAAAGAAGCAAGGGAACGGAATTAAGTCTGAAGACTTACTCAAACAAAAATTTCACATAGTTAATCACGTAGCTAGTCAATGGATGCACAGTTCCATCAAGAACAGTAGTTTTTGTTGCATCTTTTTCAACAGCTTCTTCGAAATCTACAAAAGTCTCTTGAGCAGTCTGAGCTAGACGCTTGCTTAAGACTGCAGCAGCTTCTCGCACTTCACCACAATATTTACTTCCAAAGATTATATCAATCTACCATTGAAAAAAGAAGTTGTCATTACAAGAAATTTTTGTTTATGGTCTATGAGAATTTAATGCTGGTTTTGCCAATGTAGGACAATCAGGGATACCTAAAACTAATCCAAGTTTAGCAGAGATTGATGCAATAGTAGTTGTAAGAGTTAGTGCTTGCTACACTAGATATTTGCTCAAGTTGCTTGAGTGAAGGAAAAGAAAAGTCTTAACAAGAATAAGATAGTTTTCTTATAGGCTAACTGAGGAAACAACCAAACACATAAGAGAAAAGTTGCAATGCACCATTTCTACTTCATAGATAACCATTATGAAACAACCAAACAAATGCAAGAAAATATTTAAGAGAAAAAGATGCAATGCACCATTTCTACTTCATAAATAACTATTATGAAACAACCAAACAAATGCAAGAAATATTTAAGAGAAAAGTTGCAATGCACCATATCTACATTCTTGATAACCATTATGAAAATGAAGGACAATGGAAAGAGTAATAAGGCATAGAGAAAATGAGTAAACAAGAAGGCATATAGAAAATGAGTAAACAAGAAAGCAGGACAGATGAGCTAGAAAGATATTTTGGTCACTAAAATACGTGGCCAAAAAACTGGTAATACATCACACCTCTGGCTTAAGTTCTCTCATTATCTCATACATATCCAGAAGAACAAATAGCTTTTCAGGAGATCTTTTGCTTTTGGCAACAGCCTCTCCAAAACTTAGGAGCATGCCTACACTATTTGTGGTAGCCTCTGCAAAACATTGATCCCTGAGTGAATCATGACCCTCATAAATCTGATCACAAATTTTCTTTTCTGCATGAAATAAAAGTTTGACCTGAAACAGATATTATAATTGGTTTAGTACAACAGTGATCAACTGTTTGAAAGAAGCATTTAGGAATATGAAATCATATGCATAGCCTTACAGCAATCCGCATAAAATGAATCCAATTTCCGATTTTTGCTTCTAGGACTTCCCATTGCATCTTTTGTACATCATCCTTAGTTAGTCTCTCCACTCCTAGTTTCCTTAGGCTCTGTTCCATGACAAAGGATCGGGCTTCACTGGTAACAGACATAGGAGGCCAGATTAACAAAGCAGCAAAGGAAAGTCAGCTTGTAAATAGATCAATCAAAAAAAATTTTAAATAATGCAACACATAAAATAGTAAGAGTACAAAGAACAAAAGAAACAAAATTTGCTCTAATTTGTGGTGGCACAATAGTCACTGTTGCTGCACTTAAGCTCTGGCCAAGCTTAATTGATAGAGAGTCTTTTTGTAGCTAAATATAATGTGTTTTTAAATCCAAAGACCAAATCCCTAATCATGTAACTAACTGAACTTGTAAACTGTAGTGCAAACATGAAGCATGAGTAAGCAAGGAAAAGCACAGAACTATTGCATTATTGATCTACTCTTTCATTCCTCATACATAAGAATGTTAAACAAGATACAACATCAGTATTCAAGATGAGATCACAAATCTCACAGAATCTGATTGGTAATTGCCATAACCTATCAGGTTCTCTAAGATATTCTTCCCAAACTCATTTGTCATCCTATGAAGTTCAAACACCCTCACTGTAGCTGCTACAGTGACATAAAGCAGGATTGCGGGAAATAAGAATAGCAGCTTGTGTTAAAAAAAAAAAAAAAATCCTTTCTTATGGTCTGTTAGAATCTAGAATAAGACTTTACAACTGATATGTTGTCTGTTTTTTACCGAACCTTCTACAGTTGTAG